GCTGAGTGCGGCGTTAAACAAAAAAATCAACCAACCCAGTAAAGTCAAGGCAGGATAAACCATTGATGAGAGAGAAGTGGATCCCGTTAATACACAAAATAAAAAGCAATAAAAACATTTCCACAATCATAAGAAATCTCTACCAAAAGCAGAGTCCATTGTACGATTCCGACTGGGCAAGTGTTTATGTATCACGATAAAATAGTTATGATACAGGGGTTCTCGAAAAGGTGAGCGTATCCTGGCCCACTGGTGGCACCCGTCACAAACGCATGCAAAGGCAAGTCAAGTGTTCACCGAAAAAATCACGAGAACATATGGTACAAGTCAAAACAGTTAATTTCATCAGACTTCGTTGCTGTGACTGATGCGTCAAATTGGAATGCCCTCCACATTTTTCAACGCTTTTCTGAGGCCTTGAATCAGTGTTCGAAATACCTGCCTGCCCGACCGTCCGAGACGGGTTGATTTCAACTCGGGCTGCCAGATTTTCAAATCCCCCTGCCCGACGGTCGGGTTATATTTCATATGTAAAAAGATTCTACATATTTTCCGATGATAAGCATTATTAACATGATGTATTCTAGGATATCAAATACAAATCCGACCTAAAAAGTGTTTGCTATTTCTTTTCTTGCATTACTTCATGTTCAATGTATTCGATTTAAAGTTTTAATTAAATTATCCTGAGAAACATATGATTATAGTGGGCAGGCAGGTTTTGGTCAGGGCTGGCAAGTATTTCAGCTAGCCAGTCCTGTGGTCTGGCTGAAAATTTTGGGAGTTTCATACCCTGCTTGAATGTTGTAGCCTTGATCAAACAACCCGCAAAACAAGGAGAACACCATCACACGCCTGGACAATAGTTTTCAGAGCGACTATATAGTCTTGCGTGCTGCGGTGAGTAATTAACTCACACCTAATCACACCCTCAATTAATCACTATATTTAATTACATAAAAACGCTATCGCCCCATAACCAACCTACTATGATTGGTCCAAATTAGTCCCATGCATTGACAGAAATCAATCCCACAATACCACTTCCGGGGCGCTGTCCCTAGTGGTATCGACCATGGCGCCAAACAAGTCTCATCCCATTCAATCACAAATGAAACCACAGTCCTCGATGAAACGTACGGAATATTACCCATAGTCAAATAAAAAGGACGAATTAAACACACTCCTTGGAAGCTTTATAACGTCAGATTAATACAACCAGTTAGCAAATCAATGACCATAGATGAAAACTTGTCCGCCACTCGTTCTCGGAGGACCTGCTGACTCGACTGGTTATAATGTTTGCCTCTGACAGGGTCAGTGCCTGTGGAATTTCTCCACCAAGAGGCGTTAGATTATCTGTTTAAAGAATCTGGACACATAATTCATCGCCAAGCTTCTTCAGAAATCACGTTAGGAAAGATTGTGTAGGAATTGAATGCAACAATGATACTTAAAGAGGGGCTGGGATCCGGGAACTGGCAGTCCTGGTGACCCGTGTCTGATGTGATTACACTGGTATATACATACAGAGAGACAACGTGAACGTATTGGTACCGTTGGCCTGAGTCGACGGATTGAAGTCAAGTTAGGGGCGGTCGGGTAGCCTAGTGGTTAAAGCGTTCGCTCGTCACGCCGAAGACCCGGTTTCGATTCCCGACATGGGTACAATGTGTGAAGCCCATTTCTGGTTTCCCCCGCAGTGATATTGCTGGAATATTGCTAAAAGCGGCGTAAAATCATACTCACTCACTCAGTCACTCACGCCCTGAAGCCAATTTGCTTCTGAAGCAAGATGTACACTACAGAAGCGAAGCTTCAATATGCCCAGGTGGGACCAGTGTGATCACGGGATGTCTACAAGGGCGGGGCACCACAGTGACTATGCTTTGGAAGAGCGGGAATATATTTGTTCAAGGGAAGAACACTTACAAGATTGTTCAATGACGGTGCACCATGATATTTGTTCAAGGGACGAACACAATAAGATTGTTCAATGGAGGGGCACCGCGATATTTGTTCAAGGGACGAACACAATAAGATTGTTCAATGGAGGGGCACCGCGATATTTGATCAAGGGACGAACACAATAAGATTGTTCAATGGTGGGGCACCGCGATATTTGTTCAAGGGAAGAACATCAGTGTGATTCTTCAATGATGGGGCACAGTGTTCGAAATAAGCGCCTGTCCGTAGGCCCGTGGCTGGTAGATCTCGTGTCGGGCCAATAGATTGAATTGTGTATGGGTCCTTATGACCTACAGTAAATTTACGTGTTGATGTATTTGTCACAATAAGCAGCAGTTTCATAAATGAGGTCCTGAAAGGTTTATTCAGTCTCTCCTGGAGGCAGCCTGGCATTTATAAAATCCAAACACTGGTGAAGCACCATGATATTTGCGTACGGGAAGAACATCACTGTGATTGTTCAATAGTAGGGCACCATGATATTGGGGGAGAAGAGGGGGTGGTTCTTTAAGGGACTCACTGCATCACCCACTTGTCTCATTGATTACACATATTTGAAACAGCTTTTCTTCAATTGTACAATAAAGAAAACACAGTGTTTGTAAATCGATCTGAATATCGTAAATATGGATTAGAACACCCTCCAGGGAAGATACATAACATAACGTCATCTGTAGAAATACTTCCCGAATAATGACGTTATAAAAACTACAGGTCTAACTCACTACAGCGACAAAGATCATAATTCCTCTTTCATAATTACCTGAATCATTTCTCGACAACTGCATCCTTCATTGCAGACATCGCGTGCCATTTGTTCTCTTGTCGGGTCTCCGGTCGGCTTCACGGTCACAAAGCGCGTGTGACGCCACTCTTACGCTTACAGGACGACGTTATCTCGCCTTTGTCGGGGCTCCGATCAGCTTCACATTCACAATGCGCGTGTGACGCCACTCTTAGACTTACTGGACTACGTTATCTCGCCTTTGATCTCAACAAACTGCTCTGGTACAGGTGACATATCTGGATGTAGAGATTAACAATTGATATCAGGCTATAAATAACGCGACAGTTCCGCGGCTTGTAAACAAAGTAACACACGGCTAGTCATTTGTTATGGAATATTAATATCTACTCCTGTATTTGGGAGACTATAGACATCTTCTTTATTTTCACAAGATCGAGATATCATCAGGGCCAATATTTACAATAATTAATTTGGGAATCCATTAAGTTTTATAAAATGTATTGAACGGGACTTCTATTAGATCACTCGTGCCTGCCCCCTAAAAGACAAAAAGTGTAAATATATAAGCGACAAAAACATTTTAAGAATCATAAGTAATCTCTGTTAACACAGGTATCACCCATCACAAACACCTTCAAAGGCGGCCCCTGAAGATCCGGGTAGAATAGATCATCAGCAACCCATGCTTGCCGTAAAAGGCGACTATGACTGTCGTAAGAGGCGACTATGATTGTCGTAAGAGGTGACTAACGGGATCGGGAGGTCAGGCTCGCTGACTTAGTTGATGCATGTCAGCGATCCCAATTGCGTGGATCGAGGCTCATGATATCAATCACTGGATTGTCTTGTCCAGCCTCGATTATTTACAGACCGCCGTCATATAGCTGGAATATTGGAGTGCGGCGTTAAACAACAAACAAACAAACCAACATTCAAAGGCAAGTCAGTTGTTCACCTTTGAATGCGTATAATTGTGCCCTACCATTAAACAATGTTACAGGTGTTCTTCCCTTGAAAAAAATACTAAAACACACACACACACACACACACACACACACACACACACACACACACACACACACACACACACAACAACAACAAAAACACATCATATGGTCTTAATCAAGATTTGGGGTACGCTATGCAGAGTTACGTGACTTTATAGCTTGATTTTTCTCTCTTCCCTCCCCCCATCCCCCCAACACTTTGGACTTTCCTCCCATATCAAGGTAACACGCCGCGATAAAATGAAATACTGAGTTCTGAACAAAGCGGTATTTGATTGTTCATTTGGTTGTTAAAGTAACATAAGTAATAATGGTTTACATATACCCCCCTCCCTCAACACAAACACGCACACACACACACGCACGCACACGCACACACACACACACACACACACACACACACACACACACACACACACACACACACGCACGCACGCACGCACGCACGCACGCACGCGCGCACACACACACACCGAAGTTACAAATGCCTCAAGTGGAATCCCCCATTTTTCGAATCCGGGATCCGCCTTTGACATCTATAATTAAAAATAATACTCATCAAAGGTTTAATTATGTCTCATATTTGTCATTCAAGTTACCTCCCTTGAAATCCAAGGAAACAACACACAGATCAAAACGGAAACCACACACACACACACACACACACACACACACACACACGTCAAATTCACATTCGAAAAGAAGCACTGGGAGAGTAGTTTAAATATTTAAAGCTACACAGGTAGCCCTCTTGAATCTGGGGGCGGTGGGGTAGCAAGAATGTGTCTCACACATAGTACCGATGTTGGGAATAGAACTCGGGTCTTCGGCGCGACCAGCGAACACATTTACCACCTACCTACCCAACCGCCCATGCATTCCGCTCAGGAAGCCGAGATGACTAAACACGTGGCGGGCCACATTACCTTGATTCAATCAATAATGTATACATATACTCGGCCTCGTGGAAGAATGATTATTTGTTAAGCGAGTGGTGTTTATTACGCAATTATTTTCCTGAGATAATCTTTTTTTTATATAGATTCTATGGCTTTTCATATTTATTAACGAATCGATATATTTTAAACAAACTGGTGTAAGTCGCACTTTAGAAAGTTATTTATCACCATATCCTTTTCAAAAGTCTTGTGTATTAATAAATACAACAACAACGACAAAGAAACATGTCCAACACATGTTCAATGGAAATGACGGTTGAACCGTCCATGGCGAACCTGCCTGTCGTGACCCGTGACCTGTAACCTTTGACCCAACACGACGAGCCATCATGGCGGATGTGGACTCAGAGCTGGAAAGTCTGGTAAGATAGATGAGTGCTTTTAGCAGATATACATACTGGTTCCCGTCGAGACTTGATGTATGAAGTCATGACATATTCCTTTATTGACTTGGTAAATAGCAGGTTCGGATCTTCAACGATAACTGTGTTACAGTGATTTGTTTACACCTCGGAGGATCCGTTTAAGACTTGAGTGGAATACTAACACGACTCACGGAATCTGTCGGTGAGAGAGCCTTTTGTATTTAGAGCCGGACTGAGATTTCAGAATGTGGAACGTATCATACTAAATATTGCTAATATGATGGACCAAAAATCGTATGAGTTGAACGATTTTAATAACTGACAGGTCAATAAACTCTAGCCAGTGTGACACTTGGCTATAAACTCGCGGTGTACGTTGGTAGCCTATACAACAATACCGTTTCAGGCATGACTTGTCAAAATAACAAAACAAAACAAACTCCCACTGACTGCTCGGTGTCTATGACTGTCAAAGTAACAGCTGGCTGGTGATATTATATTTGTCACTTCACTCACATATATTAATCACAACAGTGTTCATTTAGGCACATTATTAAAAGCCCATTTATATCCTGAATATCTTCTTGCTCCAAACTGTCACATGTTTACGCAGGTGTTGTATATATTAATTGGAAAGTAATAAATCACTGATTTGCAGTCTTGCTGAAAAGAATATTCTGTTTGTATTAAAGGCCGCTTGATTACAGTGCTATCATTGACGTTAATTCAAAGAAGTATGCATAGAAAATTGTTTGAAAAAACACATGTACAGATCCCATTTCAAAATAAGGGGCAGTCGGGTAGCCTAGTGGTTAAAGCATTTGCTTATCATGCCGAAGACCCGGGTTCGATTCCTGACATGGGTACAATGTGTGAAGCCATTTTCTGGTTTCCCCGCTGTGATACTGCTGTAATATTGCTGAAAGCGGCGTAAACTCAAACTCACTCACTCACACTCACTCACTCACTCACTCACTCACTCACTCACTCACTCACTCACTCACTCAACAAGCCAGGTTTCTAACTGTTGCTGTGTTCTTAAAAAATATTAATGGTCAAGGCAGACTGTCATGCAGACCCTGAAACAGATATATCCAATACAGCCCTGCAGACCCTGAAACAGATATATCCAATACAGCCCTGCAGACCCTGAAACAGATATATCCAATACAGCCCTGCAGACCCTGAAACAGATATATCCAATACAGCCCATGCAAGCCTATAATACTTGGCAAGTCTAGATTACTGCAGTAAATGGAGAGAGTCTCTGTGCTCTTTTTATTATATATCATAGCAATAATTTAACAACCGTTTTTTTTCTGTAAAATATTTTCATTTCAGAGACTAGATGTTAGTCTATGGTAGAGGAATAACAGGCGCTCCATTATTCAAGAAATATTAGAACGTCTAAGGAAAGTTATCAGATTTGTTCCTATGAACATGATGAATGAGTTATATTCTTTGTTCATTTCTACACTTATTTTTTATGAAGTGCTACATGACTTAGTTGGATTTTCTGGTAAAGTTTGAAAATAATTCTTTTTAACTTATTTTTACCATGTTTATGAACTTGATCATGTCAAAAGTTCAAACCTGCAAATGTAAGAAAGTAGGGAAGTTATAAAATTATCGATATATTTTAGAGTTGGTACTGTATCGAGACAGATTTAGGAATGTCAATACTAAAATAACAATTTTCTGCCTCTGCCAATCTATGATATCTCTACAAGAAGGAGAAAAGACAAGTCATGTAAACATGTCTGATTAGTTTCATACCACAGTTTTTCATATTTCCATAAGTTGACATTGTCAGTGGGCCTAAAATGTCCCTTGTCATATATTGCCCTCAGACCTGTGAAGATCTGGGTTGAGAATAGGTCTTCAGCAACCCAAGCTTGTCGTAAAAGGCGACTATGCTTGGCGGAAATGGTAATTAATGGGATCGGGTGGTCAGACTCGTTCACTTGATGCATGTCATCGTATCACAATTGCGCAGATCGATGCTCATGATGTAAATCACTGGATTGTCTGCTCCAAACTCGATTATTTACAGACCACCGTCATATACTGTAAATCTTCAAATAATGCGAGCATGAATTAAATGTGAAAAACGTGAGTGGTCTTTGCTCGCATTGATTAAACATCACATTTATATCTCAAAATGACTCCATAGTCATTGAGGCTGGTTTGTTAGTTGCATTCTTTTTCAGAGCTCCAGAAAACTTTTTGAGCAATTGAGTTTTTACTCTCGGGTTTCTATTTTAATTGGGTTATTACATTTTTCATTGTTATATTATTATATTATTACATTTTTTCACGCATCTATTCATCACTCTATTGGCATGATTGGGTTCTCCTAAAATTAGTGAACATTTTAAGATTTAAAAAAATGAAATAATGTTTTAGATGTATATAACTGTTCTAAATATGTTTGCTTGACTCAGAAAGTAAATTAGCTTGTAATTGTGTTTCAGAAATTAACTCCTTTGTCCGCATGCAGAAAAAGTTTCATTGGATATTTTCAGAGCCGTTTTTATACATTTGAGTTTTTCATTTAATGCAGGTGTTTCTGTATGCAAGTTAATTGAAAGTAATTGGGGGTTTGAATAATTTTGGGGTATTTTACGCAAATACGCTGCTTATCTGTAGCTCTGTTATTGGTACGTTAGACGTACGTGAGGTAGCAGAAATAAAGAATTGGTAATTAGATATTGTGAGAACCACGGCAATGGAGATAAAGAGAGTGTACGAGGGGTGTTCATTAAAGATTTCCCCTGAAACCACTTAGGGTTATCATATTTGGTTGAAATTTCACATGTGTAATGATACATGTATCTATGAGTTATGTCTGAATTTGCAGCACCGAACTATTAATCTTACCACTTTTACAGGTGTTATGATCGAGTAGGGTGTGACAATGGAGCCAGTAGAATACCGAGCAGGGATTAGGTTTTTATATTTGAAAGGTCGCACACCAAAAGAAACTTTCGATGAAATGAAAGCAACTTATGGGGAAGATGCCCCATCATATGACGTTGTTAAACACTGGCATCGCCAGTTCAAGTGTGGTCGGACATCTGTGGAAACAGCTGCCATTCCTGGTCGCCCCCATTCAGCCATTGATGAGGACACTATCCGTCAAGTGGAGACCGCCATTTTGGCAGACCGACGTATAACTGTTCACCAGTTAGCACAAGATGTCAAGATCAGTGTAGGGTCTGTGGAAAAAATCATCCATGACAATTTGAACATGCATAATGTGTCTGCACAATAGATTCCCAGGTTGCTCACACCTTTCCAAAAGCAGGAACAAGTCAATTGCCCAAAGGATCGTTTGGACATGTGCCAAAAAAAACAGGCAAATTTTTGACAGACTTATCACACAGGATGAAACATGGGTCCATCACTATGATCCTGAGACTAAAGTTCAGTCGATGCTATGGAAGCATGTGGAGTCACCACCCCCAAAGCTGGCATGTGTCCAACCCTCTGCAGGCAAGGTCATGCTCACTGTGTTTTGGGACCAGCACGGAGTAGTGATGATGGATTTCTTGGCAAATGGTACCACAATTACAGGAGCTTATTACGCTTCACTGCTGCGGAAATTGTGGGACGCTATCAACCTTTAGAGGCGTGGCATGCTGACCAAGGGTGTCCGTCTCCTGCAAGACAATGCTCCAGTACACAACTCTCATGTTGCCCAGACAGAAGCGCAGTCCTTTGGCTATGAAATCTTCCACATCCTCCTTACTCTCCTGACCTTGCACCATCTGACTTCCACCTCTTTCCAACCATGAAGTCATTTTTGAAGGGAAAACGTTTCACAGATGATGAAACACTGATTTCTGAAGTCAAGTCCTGGTTTGAGACGCAAAATGAGGGCTTTTACAAGCAAGGTCTCCATAGTTGCATAAAACGATGGGAGAAGTGTGTAACTCTTGGTGGTTCCTATGTGGAGAAAGACTAATACCTATGCCAAGTTTCATTCCACTAGGTCCATCAGAAGGGGGTCAGGGGAAATCTTTAATGAACACCCCTCGTATTTGTGCATGGTCTGGGGGCTGTACTCCGACATAAGGCAGACATGCTGCAACTGGAATGCTTGTCAATGCTGGGCAACCCATTTGTGTTTCCAGAATCATATATAAGCAATGATGAGTATTGGTTAAAATCCAATCACCCTGATATATGAATTGTTTGTCAGAACAAACACCTCCTTGGCCTAGTGGACAGAGTGTCTGCCCTTAGAGTGCAAGGTGTGTGGAACGATCACATGGCAACCTCAGTTGGAATAGTGGATAGAGTGTCTGCCCTTAGAGTGCAAGGTGTGTGGTTCGATCACATGGCAACCTCAGTTGGAATAGTGGATAGAGTGTCAGCCCTTAGAGTGCAAGGTGTGTGGTTCGATCGCATGGCAACCTCAGTTGGAATAGTGGATAGAGTGTCAGCCCTTAGAGGGGAAGGTCTGCGGAAGGTCCCATGGTCACCTCTGTTGGCTAGTGGATAGAGTGTCAGCCCTTAGAGCGGAAGGTTGGCGGAAGGTCCCATGGTCACGTTGGTTGGCTAGTGGATAGAGAGTCAGCCCTTAGAGCGGAAGGTTGGCGGAATTTCCCATGGTCACCTTGGTTGGCTAGTGGATAGAGTGTCAGCCCTTAGAGCGGAAGGTTGGCGGAAGGTCCCATGGTCACCTCAGTTGGCTAGTGGATAGAGTGTCAGCCCTTAGAGTGGAAGGTTGGCGGAAGGTCCCATGGTCACCTTGGTTGGCTAGTGGATAGAGTGTCAGCCCTTAGAGCGGAAGGTTGGCGGAAGGTCCCATGGCCACCTCAGTTGGCTAGTGGATAGAGTGTCAGCCCTTAGAGCGGAAGGTTGGCGGAAGGTCCCATGGTCACCTCAGTTGGCTAGTGGATAGAGTGTCAGCCCTTAGAGTGGAAGGTTGGCGGAATTTCCCATGGTCACCTTGGTTGGCTAGTGGATAGAGTGCCTGCCCTTAGAGGGGA